AATATGATAAATCTATTAAAAAGGACTTTGAATCTTGCATTGTAACTTTTTTCAAACTCTACATGGGACTTGAACTCTGCTCACTAAATTAGTAGAATACTAGCTTCAGACCTCTAATGTGAGCCAAGGTTCCTGTTTCAAATTTCAGTTACAGTGTATTTCTTAATATCCTGATTTGTTGTAATATACATTTATGTATGTTGTATTTTTTTTATTCAGGTGACAAAAATAGAGTGCCCATTTGTTATGAAACAAGTCGACCATCCTCAAGAGGTCCTGTAAAAAGTAGCATGATTCCAAAACCACTTCCTGAATACCAGTATACAAAAGTGAGTTAATCTGGCAGGACAGGTTGCATTTAACAAAATGTGCACAAGTTTGGTCTATTGGAATGATCCCATATAGGAAAAGCAGTGTTGACTATAATTCCAAGTTCAAGTTTACTCTGTGTATCCCCATGAAATGTGGCAAGCGTTTAGTAAGATGTACAAGTATGTTGTACACAAAATCAGGTGTATTATAAAAGTATTTGTACTGAAGATGTCTTCTAATTCTTGTCTAGATAAAGAATAGTTTTACAAAATATAATAGGCCTAATACTGATGTCTTATGAGAATAATAATTATATTCATGCTTTGCTAGCTTGTAAAAGGCACTCGCACCTTAAATTATTCCATTCAGATAATCTCTCAGAATACCAAACATTGTGAGATCTCGATGACTTTGTGGTTTCAATTAAAATCTGAAGATTCAGATCAGTAACAATTAAATCTGGAATAAATATCAGTGCTATGATATGTAGAAGCATGAAATCACGTTTATATTATGTTTCTAGATATGTTTACATTGAACGATTTATGCTTAATGGGTGGACGGAGACACTATTTAGTAACTAATAAACTATTGATGTTTTAATAAATGTTTTTGTTTTTTTTTCCACTGAATAACAGTATTTAGAATTATTTACAGTTTGCAGTAGATAGTTGAAAATTTTTATATGTTAGAATATGTACACCATTTCAACCACTAATGATAAAATTGATGGAAAAATTACGTACATAACTAAATGTTTTACAGACCCTAACAAGTTCCCTATTACAACATTACATCAAATAACAGAATAAATTATAACCCTGATCAACTCAACACCACTGAAAATAACAATACACAAAAAAATAAATAAAATAATCACTGGCACATTTCCACTCATTGATAACCTAAGGTTTCCCCTTAAAGAAATATGGAAAATATTATATGTACACAAATACTACTTAAATGTCCAAACAAGATTTGTTCACCCCAAGAACATAAATTGTAGAAATGTTAAGAAAACTGTATGACAAACCTCCACAACTAAGAACCATGTATAAAATACAATGTAACAATTAACTACTATTACCGTCTTAACACATGAACGTTGTGATTGTTTGAAAATGGAACATTTTTATCTTTAATTTTACATATGCTCACACATGCCTTGGCTATCATACTGTTAGTTTTTTTAATGACATTCAAATTTAATTGTTCTGTGTTGTATTTGAAAATGATCACACTAGTGGTTGAAACAATTTCCTGCTATTCACTGCAAGCTTTAATTAAATTTAAATATTGATATTTTGTTGCTAGAATATAGTATTAACATACCTTGTAAGTTATTATTGGAATTTGTATTACCTACTCAAGTCAGCTTTTTGTATATTACAGAAGGAACTACTTCAAATTTCAAAGTTCCCTCTAGCCAAGAAGAGACCTGAATGCTTGGACCCTGAGTTTAACAAGTATGATAATAGTTTTGATGTTTTAATGAAGATTTTATAATAATACCTGTATTCATTATCATTAAACTTGTAACTGATGTGGAGTTGACTTTTAAAATGTATAATTGAGACTACTGCTGTTAATAACCCTTTCTCTACTGGAGAGTTGTCACTGATATTTCTTATTTTTTCATTCCTTCTGACAGTGTAAGTACTCAATAAAATTGCATGAAACTTAGTAAAATTTTTCTAATAGTGTCTACTTCCAGCTTTGAAAATATTGTTTAATACAATTTAATTTTTGTATCTGTTTTATGAAATTTCTAAAATTATGTTGTGAGATATTGTTTGAAAAACTTTAAAGTACTTCTTTTCATTTTAGAATATAAATTTTTTTTTATAGTTGATCAGAAATCGGTATCTTATATTTCTAGTCAGTTTGTTGATATTCATTATAATATTTCTTTTGAAGCTTCATTTTCCTGATTTTATTAGCCACCACTTCTGGCTATTAATCTTAAAAATCATGACAAACTGATAGATTTATCAATGACCTAGGATCTGACCTTTGAAAATTTTATTAACATAACCTTTGTCAGGCTAGGTGACTAGTTTTGCAATTAGTGTTCTTCGTAAAGATCATTTTATGTCTTTCAGTAAATAATTTTTAATTTATATGCATAGTTTGAGTATGATAAACTTAAAAATTCCTGAAATAGTTAGTTAGTATTTTTTTTAAATTTTCAAATTGTAGTAGACACATGAAAAATGTTCTACTATCCAGATAGTGTTAATAGAACATTGACACTAAAACCTATAGAAGGAAAGAGCAAAAATCTGAAAGAAGAATTCAAAGCTCAAAAGTTCACATGATATGGAAGTGAAGAATGATAATTTATTTAAATATTTTATTTTCAAATTAAGAAATTAAAACTTGGATTATATTAAAAAAAAAAATTAAATAACATTTTAATACCAATTTTATTGAAAATCATTGTTAATAAAGTAGTTTAATTTTTAATATAAAAATTAAAAATGTTTGGGTGTGCACTTTGACCCACCTTGCCTGTATCGAGAGAAGTATTTAAGTTTTTGCTGCCTCAAAACCCATTTGAAAGTGCCACCCTTGAGCTATGTGGATCAGACATAGTTTCAACAATGCCACTGGAATCTTACCGCCCTGGGCCTAGTCAGCCTGTGTGGAAATATCTTGCTGCCTGTATCCAATGTTAACTCGTCAAACAGGCCTACATATACAACGTAATTTTAATGTTGCAATACACACTCATAAAGTGTCATCCATATTAGTGTTTTTATATATTAGACTATTGATGTGTTAATAGTTTAAGATATCAAATATACAGAAAGTTTTGTATACTTGGAGAGACAGTGTATCACTTTGTACAGAACGTTGAATTACCATAATGTAACTTAATTCTCTACAAGTGTTTTGAATAGTTAGCATGTGTGTGTATCCACGAACATTTGTTTTGAAAAGTTCATGCTGATAACAGGGTGATTTAAATAACGTTTTTCATTTAGTTACAATTCCTGTTTTATCTTCTAATTCTTTAAACTCTTAAACATTGAACATACACACTGATAAATGACTTGTAAAATAAACTTGAGAAAGAACTTTCTTTTAGGACTTATTGATCTAGTTGTAAACATAGTGATACCAAAAAGGGCATTTGAAGTGATGTGTACAATGTACTATTTTTTTTTTTTTCTTAAACATTACTATATGTATACATTTTTTTCTCTTCCTTGTTTGTTAATATTTTGTTCTTTTCAGTTCTTTTGGATTATGGAATCCCTTGAATTGGTCCTCTACTATACGTCATTACGAACAGTCTCTTAGAGAAGTCCTGAGACTAAAATGTGAAAAATCTTGTAATACTGGTGTATTCTATAGAAGAAGAACACCAGCCCCTAAACAGCGTATACTAAATCCACAGAGAAAAGGTTTTGGAGCCAGTTGTCGTGTATCTCAGCAGGTTTCGTTATCTAAAAGATCTGGAAGTCCACTTGAACCAAAAGAATCACTAACGTAAAGATTTTTTTTTTATCTTAACATTTTGAGAAATTGTTAAGCATTGCAAAAGGTTAGCTTTGCAGAACTTTTCAAAACTTCTATGTCTACTTTCATGAACCTATAATTTTCAAGAAATAACTATTAGTAGTCCATGCCAACAAATTGTGCTCACAGTTAAAGATTTAATTTTGAAAAACTTGTCAAGAGAATTGAAATTGCAAAAAATTTAACTAAAACTCACTGTCAAAGCTCAAATTTAGTGGCCATTTAGCAACATTTGTGTAATTTTTATTTATTTTTTTTTCTGTGCTGAAATGGAGTTTGTTTGTAATAAATGCTTCATATCCTTATGCATGTAAAATAAGTGGGAAAGACTTGGGGATTATTTCATGCTCTGTCACTGCTGTTGTTCTTGTCTGATATTCTGCATTTATGTTAGTTGTAGAACTTTACTGAAAGACTAGTGTTTATTAGAATACACTATTGAAAGTTAGACTTAAATTATAGATAAAACCAAAATTGACCCTGTTGTTTATTTTTGAGATTCATTCACTAACCATATGCATAACAGGAAACGTAATCAGCACTAAGAAGCGCATTTCATATATTAAATAAACATTTGCATTCAAAGAAATATTCTTCTAGTTACATTTTGTGTAAGCATTAAATCAAAAAACTTAATTACCACAACTGTATTCGTTTCAGTACCATTCCCCCTAAATCAAGTAGAAGAACAGGGAGTGTTAGAGAAGTAGCACATGACAAAGATCAATGGGGTAGAGACAAGGACCTACATGAAAAAGACTACAGATACAACAAATATATTGGAGAAAGAGGATACAGCTTTGACCAAGATAATAAAGAAAATGAAAGTCTATATTCTAGTCAGTATGGCCAATTCGGTGAACATGGAGAAAGATTTGGAAGAGGTAAAATATTATAGTTGTCATAAAAAATAACAAACTTGGATGTTATGAAATATATTTGCATGATTAGTAAAATATGGACTATTATCCTAATCTTATTTCTTATATGTATCTGTTTGTTTTATTATTTGTATCAGTATTAAATAATATTTAGTTGCGAATAGTTTCAGGAGGAAATTGTATTAATTACATTCAGTACAGACTTTTAACTCTCTTGCTACGGGCTCGGTCAATTCAGTCAACTTCATGGCTCCGAATTTATCTTTAGAATTTTCAATACTTCAATTTTTTTTTATGTTTTGTGTATCTTCACAACATTTTGCAAGCTTCATCAAACATTAAAAGAATTTTTATTGAATTATTTTTACAAAAATGTTCTTCATGAATATATGGAGTCAAAATGTTAACTGCTGCAACTGCAAAGTGATTTTCATGTTAAGATTAAAAATACTTTTCTTCATATCAAAACTGTCAGATTTCATTTGAGTAATCTCTAAAACCTCCTAAATAAATTTCAGACATTTCTTTTTCAGTAAAACTACGTTTTATCTGTCATTTTCTCTACCCTAACTCTGTATGATGTATTTCAAATTAACTAACCTTGTAACCATCATGTATAGCTTGTAACAGTACACAACTGTTTCTACTTAAATTTTGTTTTATTGCTTTTTGAACAGTATCAAACTAATAATTCCACCACACAAGTTGTAAATCACTCGGGAAAACATGTAGCTCTTGTTACCTTATTGAATTATGTAATGCATTAACTAATTGCGAGCATACCTTGTAAGTGTAAAATTATTTTTCTTTATTTTGCCTAATCTAACCTAAAGTTTCTAATTCTTACATTTTAGTTACTTTTATAATAATTCAAAAAGAGTTTCTTGTTTTTTTTGTCAGTGAAGTTTAACCCTACTTTTTTTTTACAAATGGTACTACTGCAGTAAATAATTTTGTATTTAATTAAGTAATACATCTAAGAACACAGAATAATAACCTGTAAAAGGCAGACAAGGTCCTATAATTATCATAACTTTTCTGGCTTTCTAATGGTGTTATAAGACCCATTAAAAATTCAGTTAAGCTTGTCAATGTATTTCCTGTGGAAGTAAAGTTTGAACTGGAAGTGAAATAGAAAATTCTCTATTCATAAAACAACTTAATATAATATGCCATGTGATAGATTAGAACTTTGGCTTTCTATTGGTTATAAATAATATAGTATGAAATGTTGGAGAACTATTGGCAATTTGCAGGAGAGGCTGTAACAGATGGGTGTGGTAAGAGGGGTCTGATTTTCTAGTTTGTCTTTGTAACCAAATAAGATTGAAGGCTATAAAAAATATGCTTTGCCCGAGTAATAACTATATTACAGTGAGTAATTCATATTAAGTTCTGTACTTCTTTCTGGAGTGATAAATTGGAGAAGAGGGGAGACCTAGAGACAGGGAAGGCAGAGTTTCATCTCAGGGTGGATTTCCCTCAGTTGAAAAAATTAAGTTGGTAAAATAAAAATCCAGCTTCTTAATTTCAATACCCAAAACTATTGGATAAATGGCTACTACAAATGTATGCTTACTTTGAAACATTCAGGTGAACATTTACCAATATGCAACTTTGGAAAACTCTGAAATATTTTAGACCAGCAGGTCTATTAATTAATATAATTGATCGGCAGTTTTTCAAAATGAAGTATGCATTACATCATGGCAGATGTTTTGTTGAACATGTGACATTTTCATAAGTGCTTTATGCACAATTTGCATGCCAATTTAGTGATGATCCACTCCATGTAGTTCCTGTATGCAGTCATGAAAGTAATCAATCTAGATCTATAGTCACTTTATTGTCTGTAATAGGCCTAAACTTGTGAGTGAATTAGCCTATAACAATGTAACTTAGTTTTAAGCTGTAAAACTACAGTATAAGGTTAACATTAACAACAATGTCATTTTAAGCATTGTAAGGTTGAGTACTAAAGGAGCTTACCAGGCTGCATGCTTAGTAAGCCTGTAAGGTCTTAATACCAATAATACAGCCTAACCCAAAAGTCCTAGACTAGATCTTATTGTATTTTAGTATAAATCTTCGTCATAATTCCATTATTTCAGTAGTACCTAATGGTATTGACTATAGTTGTAACTTTAATTTAGTAAGTGGAACACTGCGACTGCAACAAGACTGTGTTACTTTTTCAGCATGGGCTCAGTCCCTGTGACTGACCTCATAACCATTTTGTACTTATTATAGTTTTCATGCTATAACTGTTTAATTAGTAAGCAAATGTTAACAAAATTTGGCACATTATCAGTAAACATTACAATGCTTTCACATGCAAAACATCAAATTTTTTTATTAAGTCTTAAGGTTTTTAAAGCAGTTATTTTCGTGTCTTTTTTTTCATATGTTGCCTATCTATCATGCAAGTAATATTCATTTTAAAATTAAAATAAAAAAAATTAAAAAAACTTTAAAGTTTGCGATACTAGAAAATTTTAGTAATTTATTCCTTAGTCAAATAACT